CTGCTGAACATCTGAAAGAAGCTATTGATTCCTATGGAGGGTTGAAAGGATGCCAAGCTGCTATAATTGAGCTAGATACAAAGATACAAAGTGCAACGAAACCTTTTAAATTAAAAGGCATTAGCAAGCTTAAACAATTCGTATATAACATTGATGGAGAAATGACGGTATGGCAGGCGTGGAATATCGGAAAGGGTATGAAAATATCGAAGACTGGCAGTCCTCAAGGTGAGACGGGCGTAATCGCAACGCGGCCATTTCTTAAACCAAAAGTGACGTCTGGCATTTTAAAGAAAACTATAGTGGAACCTTCATCATGTCCAGCTGCAAAAAATGAGCCAAATGTCCCTGATGTAAAAGACAAAGAACCTGTCAAGTTTTATTGTCCTGAAGAAGGATGTATTAAAGCATATAGCTGCAGTCGCTATCTTAAACAGCACCTTGATATTGGAAAGCATGAATTCAAGCTTCACGAAGAATCACAGTATGATCAAATACAACGGAAATGGGCGCAAAAATGTACTTCTCTAAAACCTCCAAACCCCTCGTGTCCACCAATGGTTAGCTCAGCTTCTAATTCAGAAGAAGTACATGTTCCTGATCTAGTGACCGGCTGGGCATTGAAAAAATCGAAGCAGTGCAACCGATTTCCACTGCACGTGAAGAGCTACCTTGTAGGGCAGTTCCTGATTGGGGAGGACACAGGTAGGAAAGTGACGCCAGCAGAAACATCGACGCGAATGCGTTCCATGCGTGATAGTAACGGGAAACGAGTCTTTGATAAAGAAGATTGGCTAATGGTACAGCAGATCACCAGCTATTTTTCAAGACTGGCGGCGATGAAAAAACTTGGTCAGTTACCACCAGGACCTCTAACTGAAGAAGAAGGGGAAGAAGTCGAAGTTGCCGTGCGTACGACCGAAATATATAATCTGCGGGAGAGTCTTGAGGAAGCTCACTTGTGACTTATTTAATCGATCGAGCTAGAGTGTATTTTGGGAGGACGTTGCGATGACTCTAGCAAAAATTTAAGGGCACTGGAAACTAGTTTCAAATGATGTCGCACATGTAATAATAATATGATGTTGCAGCTTAAAACATTAAATGGTCGGCTTTGAATGGCCATAGTACCACTTGGAAAATTATATTTGTTGTATTTTGATTTTTTTCTAAACAAATGTCTTTTAAACTTCTTGTATTGAAGATATATATCAATATCTAAAGACGTCCAGATCAATGAATGCGTACTGTATTTTGGTGTATGGCTTTTTGACTTTGTTTATGTTGTATCATTCTCTCACAAACAGTAAGTAGCAGAGCTAAATATCTGACTTCTTCTAGATTGTTTTCCTTTATTTACTACTGGTTTGCAATGGTTTTTCATTTGATGAGTTATCTTTGTTGTAATCAGCATTAGCTCGTTGTGTAAGATAATCGCTAAATCACGTAATTTGCGGTACTCTCATGCTTCACAGTTAATACTTTACAAAAAAAATTTTTCGTGCACTTGTTTCCTATTATCTATAGTAAAGAAAATCAAACTGCGTGCTTTTAGAAGCCCGCCGCAGCGAGAATATACGATGTTTATTTTAGGCCAAAAATGCCTGTTTTAAATTTCGATTCCAACGACTTAATCGTAAATTACCTTAATTATTTTGTTTCGAATTGCAATGATAGTTTGATACCTTCATCGTAGTGTTCAATA